CACGGAGAAACCGGGGAAGCCCCCGGAGGAAAACTCCGTGATGCCTAGACCACGGCCTTGCCCAACACAAGTTATAAATTCGGGCACCACCGGGAATTGAACCCGGGACCCCAGGCTTACAAGGCTAGTGTTCTGACCGCTAGACCATACAAAAAGGTTTCAAATATTAAGTTACAGATACTAAGCCTTTCATGTCAAATAAAGCTGACAGTCCTGTTTTACGTACTTTAAAATTGTGAACAGCCACTCTTGAATTTTCCCAGTGTATGTGATGGACAAATTGTTACTGGGCAGGAGTTTCTGTGTTCCCCTGCCAATCAGCACAATTTTACCAGTGCTCCGTACTCATCGCTCATTGCCCCTGCTGCATGTGGTAGGCTGAACCAATGACAAAGAATGTCAACCACGGTGCACACGTGGCTTCTTTTCGGACCTGACACTTGGCTGCTCTTCAGTAGTTATAAAAATGCATTCACAAATTTATGTGATCTGGAGCTTTCATTGTGTCTAAGTATAATAAATTCTTTGGCCACCAGCTGTGTCAAGGGGTTGAAAGGTAAAAAAAAGTTAAGAACTTATTATACATTTACAAATTCTTTACCATTCTATACATATACGCTATGTTAATAATGCAGTTGTATGTTCTTTTAGGGCTCAGTTGCCAGCTGTTAAAGCCAGTGGTGAAGAAAGCCGTAGCTTCAAAGCTGAACCTGTGTTGGAACAAGACACGGTAGTTTCTTCTGACTGGAAGGATGAGGACACTGCAGATACGTGCAGTTTAGGAAGTGAAAACTCGAGCTCTCACGGTAGAAGTGTAAGTTATCTACTAATGCTCACAATGATTATACAGAATTTCTTATGCATGTGGTGACCTCATGTTGACTAACATACACATGCGTACACTTACAGAAAATGGCTATGCCATTTTTCAGGCATTTAAGATATCAGCTTCTTGTCATGGAGATCTGGGTCCAGTCTCAGTGTAATTCATGTGGGAATTTTGATAGATTTTTAAATTCATGTTTGATAGCAAATGGGACTGTAATTCTTAATATTTCCTGTTTATGATGTCATGTAGAAGACGTGGTACCTCAGAGTTATGACTTTAAAATTTAGTTTCTCTTGCACACCAGCACACACATTGTATAAGATTACTTGCAGAACTAATTGAAATTGAATGGTGTCATTACATTTCATTTTTCTATCATTTCAGTTTGAAACACCACTTTTAAAGAAGCAAAAGTCATTAAGTATGGAGTCTTTGAAGTACAAGGCATTCACAAAGCTATTTAAGAAATTATCAAAAAGAAAACCACAATTAGCTGAGGCCACATGATTCATTGGTAAGTCTTGGTTTCGTATATTTCTGTATTTATAGTTCAGAAATCTTTAATAACGTGGCAGAGTTTCAGAATTTGTTTTCCAGCTGAAATAACTTCCATGAAGGAGGCATCTTATCTTAATTTTGTTTATAAAATCATCGCTCTATTGTAATAAGTAATGGCTAAAATATATTTTGAATTAGTTATGGATAATATTAGGAGCTGCTGGGAATGAAAGATACTACAAATGAAGACAAGAGTTCCAGTTTATGGATTTTTAACAAATAGTTTAATATTAACTTCATGTAGTAAAAGCCGAGGATAGAAACAATTACAGCTGCCGAGATGACATTTGTGAGATGTGCTGCAAAGTACACTTGGAAGGACTTACTTAAAGAGTTAGAATAGATCCCATTTTAGACAAAATGTTGAAATATGAAAACAGTTGGCATGCAGAGGGACAGACTTCCCAAATTATTAAGAAACTACACACCATGTGGACAAAGAAACTCTGGAAGATCGCAAAAGAGACTTTTAGACTATGGGGATGGAAAAGGTCAATACGCCCTAACTCCTTGATTGTGTGATGATGATGATGGTAGTAAAAATCCTATCATTTAAAATTGGTTGGATCAAAGTATTGCATATTTTGAAGTTATTGAGTAGTTTCAAAATGGTAGTTTTTATCAGTGTTCCATTCATAATATTATTGAATTTGTAAAAAGTTTTATTAGATGGTGATTTATATTAAATTTGTTGAGTAGTCTTTAACAAACAGGATGTTTTACATGCTTCAAACTCCACATTGCAGCTGGTTTTACTTGAAAATTTGATATTTACTGAACTGCCAGGAAATACTCTGCTCTTATGGAGCCCAAAGCTTCATTAGTATGTTCACAAAAGCCCACATTTGAACCTGAGCAATTTCGTGTGGTCCATTACCTTTACATCTGCTGTAAGATCCATTTGATTCATTCTACTGTAAGATCTATTAATATTAACTGTAACTATCTTCATTGTCCTGTTACCTCCTCTTTGTACTGCTTCTTAGTTTGTGTAAGGAAGCCTTGGACAGATCATGTAGTGAGAGAGAGGACACAGCTTTGAATTTCAGATAATGCAGACTATTACTGCACACACACATAGTGGAGTAAGAATATGGGTCTGGTTTTTATTTACAAGAAGTGGTTAAACCAAAAGAAAATGTAATTTTTCTTCCACTTTCTTTCAGCTTGGTGCACCTTGTGTACCAACTTTTTGGTGTAGGAGATGCGTTGTAGGAAGGGAGTATTTTTTGTCTGTAGATTATGTCTACTTTCTTTTTGAGTCCTGCATGAACTACACAACCAAATGGACTCAACGAATATCTCAGTAAAATATTTAAAGCTATCTGAATAGACATTGTTTCTGTAAGAAAAGCAATAAACGAAAATAGTATCCTGAATAAAATATTGTTATATTAGAATAATGAAAGGATACTTTGAAATGGGCAATCTTATCCCTGCATCATAATTAGGGAAGGACACTGAAGTGAAACACATTGAGCATGTTTACAAGTCTCTGATGTAGCAGATTCTTCACCAATTAGAATAAGTGTAAATTGTTGCTTACAATCTATCCAAGTCCTTTGGTTTGAGATTCAGTGTAGAGAAACATGTGGCTGGTGAAGATTGGTGCAAATTGTACTACACCGAGTGTATAATGGTGAGTAAATCTGTTTCTTCATACTCAGGAACTGAATGAGAAAGAAGTAGATGCTTAATTTTGATTTGCCTCAATGGCAGTTAGTAGCTTACTAAACAAACCCCAGGTATCAGTTATAACATGGATAATTCAGGTTTGCTGTTTAATGACGCTAGTCATGTTACTGCCATGAAAGACAGTAAAAATGTTCATGTCTTAGGGTGGCCACACGCTACGGCTTACTGGAAGGCTTACGTCTGTGAAGGCCAACCGGAGCGTGTGTTGAATTTGGCTGGAAACCGAGCCTCCGATAAATCTGCAGCAACTTGATTTTTTACCTTGAGGTTTACTGGGTGTTTACAAGTCGTAACGTGTATGGGGAAAGAGGAGGGTAGAGGCTTGTAGCATTTAGTCATCTCAGTCAGTCAACACAGCACTATACAGCCCTGTTTGTTTCATCAATTTTTATATTACCATTATTGGAGTGATGGCTGACATGAGATCCTGGCCTCATGAATTCATCTCTGAATTCATCGAGTTGTACAGGTCTCTGCCTTGTTTTATATACAATGTGAAAAGCAAGCAGTATTCCACGAACACTCGAGAAACTCTGCATATTTGAAGATACCATAGCTATTACTATGCATAGTAAAGAGTATCAACAATACGTGCAGTTCTTACAGAAAAGAGTTGAAGAAAGTGTCACAGTGGAAAAGAAGCAGCGCGAGCGGAGAAGTATGTAATCCGTCTCTATGGTATTTCCACATGTAGGATTTTCTGTACGACCAGGTAGTTATGCAAGTCCGTCGGCTCTAACCGAATTTCATTCAAGAAATTTATGCGAGAATGTTTTTGTCTATCTAACCCACTTAGAATGATTTCGCTTTCTTTTGTTTTTTGGACATTAAAGTAACAGCAATACTGATTACAATCACATCGACTTCACTGAACATGTCGTAGCATCAACTCGAGAATGAAAGACTGAGCACAAAGTCTGTACGTGTGTGAACTCTCAGAGGTTTGAGGCTTACCTTCCGACTTTAATCTCGGAAGGCAGGCCTTCCGGTAAGTCGTAGCGTGTGTGGCCACCCTTAAAATCTACTAAAAGAGGCAAAACCATACCTCTCATAGTGTTCTCTAATGCTGAAGGTTCCTTTATACCTCAATATTTTATTTTTAAAGTAGTCTACAAGTAAAATGTTCATGAGCTATTATTACAATGAAGAGAGACTCCATACAAACTCATATCCATGGACTGGCTTTTGAATCACCTCATACCCTGAAAACCAGCAGGGAAATATCTCAATTTTGGATTGTTGTGTGGAGCACATGAAATTTTATGAAGTGTTACAAACTTCAGCTGACAAGAAGATAATGTTGTTCTGTACAGTGCATTTTCCAAGCTTCTGAAAGCATATTTTTAAATTCCTTGTGATGAGTTGATCTGGGTAAAGCCAGTTATGAAATTTGAGTGGTGTCAGTTTCATGCACTACATTCCAGTGTCTGATCTCATCTCTGAAGTGTCAGATTCAGTGTAATGTTTCTGAATCACATTTTTTTTTTGTTAAAATGGTCTGCCATTCCTGATCCTGCATTCCTTACGTCTATTACTGAATCCAGAGATTTCTCTGCCAGTGTCTTCGAGATACCTTCAGACCAAGAAACTACGTCAGATTCTTCAGGTCTGACACCTGTCACAGGTCAGCTCTCTACATCATCAATTCAAGACAAACGAATCATCAACTGCACATTTTACTGCAAGAGAGGCACTCAATAAGATATCACCCATATCAAATCAGAGGTCCACTCTAGAAGGATGCAGTCAGCAATATATCTCATAGCCATGGTTTTAGTAAATCCAAATCCACCACTTCTAATCTGGTTACGTTTTTGGATTTATTTTCCCCTTTCACTTGTTCCCAGTCTCAAGCTGATGCCTTTTATGTTGATTTTATCATTTATTTACTTCCATCATTTTGTTTTCTATATTACTCCATATTTATTAATGTTTTCTTTAAATCATTGCTTTACAGACTAATAATGAACATCAGATGAACCACGCCATATAAAAAACAATACCTTCGTTCTAATATATAAGAGTAATTCTGATAAGAACATCTTCCATAAACTGCATAACATTGTAAAGGATTGTAATTCGAGTTTTAAATTTACCAATCTAATTTATACCTGAAGACGGTTAAATATAACCGAAACATGTCGTAAGAGACGTTCCAATTTCTAAATCGATCATTCGATGCGGAACGTGAAATGATATTTTAAATATTTTATATTTTACCATCTTATTATAAATTGTGATTTGACATTTATCAGTGTTGTTTCGCATGTCTTACGTTTGCACAAACTTGGTGACTATGAACTGTCTGCTGGTTATATGATTGATTTCTTAGTTACCTAACCAGCAGACATTCGCAAGTACGTTATTCTGGAGTTTTGTCATTTCCTTTTGATTTATTGTCTGGTATCTTTCAAGGATCTGTATTAGGACCTTTGTTGTTTAATGTGCAATGTCATTAAATTGTAAGGCCATAAAGTCTCCTCAATATAGTTCTTTACTTTGAAAGGACGCAGAAAACTTAAAGAATTTGAAAAATGTAAACTTCAAAAAATTTTGAAAAATTTCAAAATTTTTGGGTTTTGTGTGTTTTTTTGACAATTTCCAGCAATGCGCGTGGGATTTAGGGCGCGGGGGGGTGGTTTGGGCGCGGGTGGTTAGGGCGCGGGGGTGGGTTAGGGCGCTGGGGGTAAGGTCGCGGGAGGTTAGGGCGCTAGGGGGTTAGGGCGATTCATGCCATTTGCAGCCACATTTAATTTGTTAAAAATTTCGACAATTTTTGAAAATATCAATTTTTTCGAAAATTCGAAAAACGTAGGAAATCGTCCAAAAAGCTAGGTTAGGTTAAGTTAGGTTAGCTTAGGTTAGTTTTTTTAAATTTCAATTTTTTCGAAAAATCGAAAAACGTGGGAAATCGTCCAAAAAGTTAGGTTAGGCAAGTATCACATGAAAATTCTGCTAGGAGATTTCAATGCAAAAATTGGGAGGGAGGATGTCTTCAAACCCACAATAGGCAGCGAGAGTCTCCATGCACTTAGTAATGATAATGGCGTCAGAGCAGTGACCTTCGCTACGTCAAAAGATTTAATTGTAAAAAGTACAAAATTTCCACACCGTGATGTTCATAAATACACTTGGACTTCCCCAGATGGCAGAACACACAATCAAATAGATCATGTTTTAGTAGATAAGAGAAGGCAGACAAATGTAATTGATGTGAGATCATTCAGAGGAGCAGATTGCGACACTGATCATTATCTGGTGGTAGCAAAAGTGAGGGAGCGGCTTTCAGTAAGTAGACGAACTAAACAAAATTTTGACACAGAAAGATTTGATTTGAAAAAATTAAGTGAGGGAGAGGCAAAGGAACAATATCAAGTTGAAATTTCGAATAGGTTTCAAATTTTAGAGACAAATGAGGATAATGAAAGTGTGGACATCAACAGGGAGTGGGAAAATGTCAGAAACTGCATCAAAATTTCAGCAAAAGAGAAACTAGGATACTACAGGAGAAAGCAAAATAAACCGTGGTTTGATGAAGAATGTTCAAAATTAATAGATCGAAGGAAGCAAACAAAATTTCAATGGTTGCAGAACCCAAACAAAACAAATGCGGATAATCTATGTAACGTGAGACGTGAGGCTAGTAGAACCTTTAGGACTAAGAAAAGGGAATACCTGAAGGGCAAAATTGCTGAACTTGAGACAAATAATAAGGAAAAAAACATCAGAGACCTGTACAGAGGCATTAATAACTTTAAGAAAGGATATCAACCCCAGACTAATTTGGTAAAGGATGATAGTGGCAATTTGCTTGCAGATCCAATAAAAATTGTGAATAGGTGGAAAAATTTCTTTAGCGAGCTCTTAAATGTTCATAATACTGGTGATATTAGACAGATTAAAATGCATACAGCTGAACTGTTGGTGCCAGAACCTAGCTTAGATGAAGTGGAACTAGCCATTGGGAAGTTGAAAAGTTATAAATCTCCAGGAATTGATCAGATTCCGGCCGAATTAATTAAAGCAGGTGGCAAAGGGTTGCATATGAGGATCCATAAGCTTATTCAGTTAATTTGGGATAAGGAAGAGATGCCACATCAATGGAAGGAATCCATAATTATTCCTATTTATAAGAAGGGGGACAAGACTGAGTGTGGTAATTACCGAGGAATATCGCTGCTATCAACCTCATACAAAATTCTATCCAACATTCTTTTGGCAAGATTAACCCCATATGCGAATGAAACTATTGGGGATCATCAGTGTGGGTTCAGACGAAACAGATCAACGATTGATCAGATCTTTTGCATTCGTCAGATACTAGAGAAAAAATGGGAGTTCGGTGGGACTGTACATCAGTTATTTATAGATTTCAAAAAAGCCTATGACTCTGTGAAGAGAGAAGTGCTATATAATATTCTTATTGAATTTGGTATACCAAAGAAGCTAGTGGGTCTAATAAAAATGTGCTTAAATGAAACCTGCAGCAAAATTCGAGTAGGTAAATATGTATCTGAGACATTCCTCATCAAGAACGGTCTAAAACAAGGAGATGCTTTGTCTCCCTTGCTCTTTAACTTTGCGCTAGAATACGCCATCAGGAAGGTCCAAGGTAGGCAGGAGGGTTTGCAATTGAATGGGACACATCAGCTATTGGCATATGCTGATGATGTTAATTTATTGGGGGACGATATAAATACAATAAAGAGGAACGCAGAAGTTTTACTAGAGGCTGGTAGACAAGTGGGGCTGGAAGTAAATTCAGAAAAAACTAAGTACATGTTAGTATCTCGTCATCAGAAGACAGGCGGGCAAAATTATCTTAGGGTGGCTAATAAATCCTTTGAAAGGGTTACAAAGTTCAAATATTTGGGAACAACAATAACAAATCAAAATGATACTTGTGAGGAAGTTAGGAGGAGACTAAATTCCGGAAATGCTTGCTACTTCTCAGTCCAAAATATTTTGTCTTCCCGTCTGATTTCTAAGAACCTGAAAATTAAAGTATACAAAACAATAATCTTGCCTGTTGTTTTGTATGGGTGCGAAACATGGTCTCTCACTCAGAGGGAGGAACACAGATTGCAGGTGTTTGAGAATCGGGTGTTGGGGAGGATATTTGGGCCTAAGAGGGAAGACGGTGGGGCGTGGAGAAAACTGCACAATGACTAGCTTAAAATCTGTACTGCTCCCCCAGTATTGTGAGGGTGATTAAGTCGAGAAGAGTGAGATGGGCGGGACATGTAGCGTGCATGGATGGGACAAGAGGTGTGCACCGGGTACTGGTTGGGAAACCTGCAGGGAAGAGACCGCTGGGGAGACCTTGACGTAGATGGGAGGATAATCTCAGGCGGGATCTATGGGGGATAGGAGTTGAAGGAAACTGGATTTTGTTGGCCCAGGACAGGGTCCGGTGGAGGGCTTTGGTTAATTCGGTGATGAACCTTCGGGTTCGGTAAGCCATCTAGTTAGTTAGTTAAACAAGACTGGGTGGTATTAAGCATGAACCTCTGATACGTCGGTAAATTTCTAACAGACACGGCGCAGCATCCCAAAAAACATAAGTCTTCTTATTCTCCGCGTTAGAAACTTAAATTTTGTGGAGAAAGTAGCGATATCACATATTTTTAAAAAGTTGTATATCATAAACTTGCTGTGGATACTCCATTTTCCAGTCTCCGGATAACAAGAGGAGGAAAAAGGACGTATTTGAACTTTGCTGTCGTGTCGTAATTCAATGGAAGAGTACGTCTTGGGACGCCGTAATCCCTCAGCTTATCGATAAGACACGCATATTTTGTGGAAACAGTTCATTAAAGTGTTTACTATGGCCAACCATTTGGTCCATCCTGAGCTAGACGAATCCACTCAGTATCCTGTTTATTTAAAATCGATTATATTACGCGCACGTTTAAAATGTTGTATATATTTCTCATTTCCCCCACACGTAATCGTCATTTTATTAAAATTGAATTTGTTGAAATATTTTCTTTGTTATTTTTAAAATTTGTATAATGTAATTGTTTGTTGCTCGGGGTCAGAGGTCTGATAAAACCGACTGAAGAATATCGATTTATAAAAGTCCACATCTGTGCATGTAAAACATTATCAGCAGCAGCAGCAGTAGTATCAGAATAATCTTCATTTACATGCATTTATAATATTAATCTTTTTTTATTATAGAGCAATATGATAAAGAGAGAGACGCATTATGTCATATGGCATGTAGGAAAGTAATATATTCTAAAATTTTTGTATTAATTATTACTCAGTTCAGAAATCGTTATTAGGCTGCAATCTAAACTTTTCAAAGTTGTTTGCTAAGATAATCTTTTGGGCCCAAACCATATTATCTTGGTACACAAAGGATTTTTATTATAATCAAGACAGTTGTCTTTTAGTTTCTAAAGGATACGACTTGCTGAATTACAGTTCTTTGCTTTAAATCAACAGTTTTTAAGAACTGGCCCGAGGTAACTTAATCCATATCAACGTGGAATATGATTTATTTCCACAATGAAAGTCAGTCTACAAACGTTTCTGCGCCCTAATGTTGAATGTCACGCTAATTTGAATTTAAAAGACGTTTGCAGGAATGGAAGGGCGAGTTTGAAGTTGGGGTGATCCCAAACTCTTTGAAAGACAAACAGACACAGAGCATGCGCACGCTTGCCAACACATTTTATATCATTCCTTTTATGTTTCTTTTTCGTGTCCTCTCACCCTAGAGAGAGAGACGCATTATGTCATATGGCATGTAGGAAAGTAATATATTCTAAAATTTTTGTATTAATTATTACTCAGTTCAGAAATCGTTATTAGGCTGCAATCTAAACTTTTCAAAGTTGTTTGCTAAGATAATCTTTTGGGCCCAAACCATATTATCTTGGTACACAAAGGATTTTTATTATAATCAAGACAGTTGTCTTTTAGTTTCTAAAGGATACGACTTGCTGAATTACAGTTCTTTGCTTTAAATCAACAGTTTTTAAGAACTGGCCCGAGGTAACTTAATCCATATCAACGTGGAATATGATTTATTTCCACAATGAAAGTCAGTCTACAAACGTTTCTGCGCCCTAATGTTGAATGTCACGCTAATTTGAATTTAAAAGACGTTTGCAGGAATGGAAGGGCGAGTTTGAAGTTGGGGTGATCCCAAACTCTTTGAAAGACAAACAGACACAGAGCATGCGCACGCTTGCCAACACATTTTATATCATTCCTTTTATGTTTCTTTTTCGTGTCCTCTCACCCTAGAGGGAAACAAGTTTGTTATTTTAGGATTTGGTTTCTTTGAGATGAGAGAGTTGGTAAGAAAACAGTGCTATAAACTTGATTGATTCTCATAAAATCTTAGCTTTCTTTCCGCAAGAATATTTTGATGTCTGGAATTGTGTGTGCATTTATGTAGTTCTGATCCTGTGGCTTTTTGGTATTGTATTTTTTACACTTGCGTTTTCTGTTTTCAGTGAATTATGTCAATTTAATTGAAGTTAGACTGGAAATTTCCATTTTAGTGCACATTTTGGGGTTATAGGTAAGTCTTTTTGGATAAATATTTTGGAAATTTTATTACAGACGTCCAGTTTCGTAATGAAGTGGACAACTCTGTTTCCATTTATATGTCAAATATTCGAAATTACAAGCTTTATTGTACTATTATTGAACGGAACACGAATAAAAATGCAGAAAATCAATTTATTTTTCTTCTGAATTATTCAACATTTGATAGTGAAATTAATTACTCCCCAATATCACCCATCAATCTTAGCAACTTTTGTTTCGTCCCTAAGCTCATATCGACCAGGGTTCGATTTCTGATAGGGTCAATGACTTATTTTTATCTTAGCTCAGTCGGGATAACGATGACTACGGGCTGGACTACCGGGGTTCGCTCCCCGACGTGGGCAGAGGACTTTTCCTCTAGCCTCTGCGTTCAGACCGGCTCTGGGGCTCACCCATCCTCCTATCCAATAGGTACCAGGGTCCCTTCCCGGGGGTAGAGCTCGGCCGGGGCGTGACCCTAACCACTCACCCTTATCTAGTGCCGACGTCAAGAATGAGTAGAAGCGATACCACCTCTCCCCTGTGCGTTTACATGGCGCGTAATTTTTTACCGAGTCCATGCCGACTTTGGGACTTCAACGGGTATTTGGGGATCTTTTATTTTGGGTAGAGTCGCCAGAGTGTGAAGGCGACTGTCTAGTACGAACGTTAAGAATACATGGACCTTTGCCGCCACTTTTCCATACATCCTTATGATTTGGTGTTTAATTAAGCACAGAGATACCTTTGAGTCTACTAGAGGAACAAATAGTCCGCACTGTACTTGCAACCAAAAACATAAATTAGAATTGGTTTCAATTATTATTACATTATAATTGATTTTGTAATTTTTTTATTAGATTCCTGTACACGCTGTGGTACAAGTACTCACTGTCAGTACTTTTTTTTTATTTTTGCACTTTTGCAGAACTCGTTTCTCCTTAAATTCCTGGGAGAGGACTTAGCACTATCAAAAGCCTTCCTTTAATTACATTTAGCCCTGAGCAGATCCTTTTATATGCCTCAGAGGCTTTTGGAAAGAAAGTTATCTGCCTTCACTGTGCTTCACCGTTTCTACTTCATCTTACGGAAGTCTGCATCATTTTTGAACTTAATTTGCAGTCATTAATCATGTCGCAGATTTCATGACACTTTTGGAAATGAGAAAAGTTATTTCTTCTCTTTTTATATTTTACGTTATTTTTATGTTTTGAAGTCATTCGTTTCGCAGAATCCTTTACAGTCTGAAGTAAGGTTAGTTGTGTGAAACAATGAAAGAAGGTCAGTTAATTTGTTATGTAGGCTATAAAGTTTCGCAGAGAACGAATAAAGTATGGACCAGAACTTAAGCTGCAGTTTCTCTTGGTAAAGCTGTCATTCACTGAACTGTCAGTCAATTGCCTGATTGGAGCAAAGCTTTGGCTGCAAAAATTCTCAGTAGATTTAAGTATAAGGCTCGTTTGTAAATGAATTATCAAGCCGTATCCTCCTTTTCAGAGATCAAATACGATGGAAAGGCAATGTCGGGGCAAATTGTGTAGAGCCATTAGATTTGATGCACGCAGTTTTCAGAATGAAGGCCCCGCGTCGTTTCCTGTAACATCTGAAGCCACTATGAGGTCACATGAACTGAGTCGAGATAGGTGACGTCATGTTTCGTGCCTTAATTGTTAAAGTCTGCTTAAACCGATATTTGCACAGCAAACAACCGTCCATAACAATCCTCTGCAAAAATATTAAAATATTTTTTCGTAATTGATCTTTCTTGTAGCAGTCAAATCAGTCGCGCTTCATCGTTTCCTGCACAAATTAATCGCGGCTGTAAGAGTTGAGTGTGAGAGCCAAAAAACCCCTCATTTTAAAAACTTACTTTGGTACTGAGTGTTTAAAAGCGCCACGGACCTGGACGGATACCTTGGCTGACACACATGCTGCCTTTATTGTTACTGGTTTACAGTCATAAAGTTTTAACTGCAGGTACGCATCATCGAAGCTTCAAGCCAGAAGTCCTTACTGCCTGCATCAACAGGGCGATCTTCCTGATAATGGTGATGCCGATTGACCTCTAAAACGTTGTTTAACTTCTACCAGACTACACGGTGCTACAACCCACAAGACAGCCATCTTTGTACTATACTCCGTGAGAACCTAAAATCATCCTCTGAGGTACATAATTTGTACATTTACCAAATAATATTATGGCGATGACATGATTGGCGCGGAATGTAGCAAGTAAAGTATTTATTCGGGAAACCTGAAGGTACAATACCATGTGTGATATGTGTTATAGGTGTGAAGTTAATAATTAAATTGATATTAAGGATATAATATATGAGGGTTTGGACAAGATTTATCTGGCTTAGGTTTCTGATCTGATCTGTTGTGAATTGTTTCATAAAACTTAAAACTGAATAAGGCGGGAAATTTTTTGACGAGCTTGTGAGTATTAGCTTCTCTAGGAGGACTCTGCCCCATGGAGGTGGTAGACTCAGTCTAACACTTACGAGAATTAAAAATAATTATATTAGCTTGCTACATTTCAGATAGGCTGAACAGTTTAAATTTCATGCATATTTGGGGTTCAGAAAATATATCCTTCACCCACAATACTCACAACACTCACAACGTACCTCAAGAACATCTAATTCTCATCACATACGGAAACAGGCATTTTTAGTCAAACATTCCCTTTAAAGATTAACGTCTAGTCTTGTGTATGGATAGAATATAAAGTTAGAGTCTCAAAGTTTAGGAATGTTTTTAAATATGATTTGATCAGCGGTGTGACTCCAGTTTAACAAGGGGCTTACTGTATTTTCTTATTCATTTTGGAATTTTGAAGAAGGGACAGGCAAATATATCGATATGTGGATATATGTGTATCGATATTTTGATACTGATGTATCGCCTAGGTATCTTATATTTTCTGTGCCAAGGGGTCAGATAAAATGAACAAAATTATCAACGGGCTTGTGTGAGCCCCCCGGTTACACACGTCTGGATTTTAATTTAGAATTCGTTGTAATTTTATTTTTTTTCATACGTGTATCGATAGTTTTCAGGTAAACTTAGGCCTATAGTCTTTGATTACCGGAAGCCAGGAGACGAATAGTCTGACTGGAATTGCCCTTGCATCCGGTCAAGTGCGTGTTTTGAATTAATTTGGCCTTTTAGTCAGGTAGAATGTTTGTGTGTACTTATCCTGGATCTCAATTGTATTTCATACTATCCCACATTCTTATTGTGTGAGATTTTTGGTTCTCACGGCGACGTGTATGAACTTTGCTGTCTTCAAGGTTATTTACCGTGAAGTATGATAGAAGGTTTCGGAGGTACTTGCTGCTTCCATCATCAGGGAGTTCTTATGTTGGAAGCAGCAGGTACTTCTGAAACGTCGGTGAACTTCTACCAGACTACACAGCACAGCGACCCAAAAGATATTCATATTGAATGTGATGTAGACTTACTACTCATTAAACTCAACATAAGCCATTTATGTAGACTTTGGATAAACGTTTGATTTAGTTATGAGGGAAGTGTTCTATTTTATTCTATTATTGAATTCCGTGAACCAATTAAGCTGGATGGACTCTTTAAAATGTTTGTAAATCAAAAGTGTATTCCGCATATTTAAACACGTCTGATGAAATTTCCTATTCAGAATGGTTTGAAACAAGAGTTGTTTTTAATAATTGCGTTTCAGTATTGCTTAGAATAGGAAACGAAGAGTTTGTATGCCGATGATGGATTTTTCCCCTGAGAACGTATATATCAGTAATAAAAATGTAGAATCGTTGTTAGATGCTTTTAAAGAAGTTGGTATAGAAGTAAACGCAGAGAAAACTAAGCTTAAGAGTGATGTGAGAAATGTGTAGAAACTTTTAGTCAGGAAATCTGAATGAAGTCGACCTAGTCGTAGATGGGGAGATAATACTAAAATGGATCTTAGGAAATAGAATGTAAAGATGTGGACTGGATGCAGAATTTGGATCAATGTCGGGCTCTTGTGGACACTGTAATGAACCATCGGGTTTTATAAAGGTCTAGAATTCTTTTAACCAGCTGAGTGATTGTTAGCTGTTCAATATAAACCCCGCTTCATTGGATTGTTTCAGGTAAATTACATATTACGTATACTTAATAACATTTAGGTTGAAGAGTTTCTGAGAAATGTGAGAGCTGTTTTCAACGTAAGCCTTAGGCGTATTAAAATGTCGTTGAAGCACTTTCGTCTCAAGTTGAAGTACTTACTACCATCCATTCACTTGGTCTTTGCTAGTACACGTGTTCTGCATTTATTAAGACAGAGAATATTATGTAAATTCTTCTTCTTGACTTACAGGTATGTAGAATCGTTATGTGGTCGGTTGAAAGTCGTGTTCTTTATTAGACGAGGACGTCGGTATCTAGACAAAATTAAAAGCAATCGTGTCATCTGTCTTCATAATTGTCTACCAGCAGTAATTGGCTTGTAGACTTGAGACTTTCTGTTAAGTACACAAGTGATTAATCGTTTAATATGAAAGAGTGGAGTTTGTATGGAGCTGTTCCTTAGAAATCTCTGAACGCAAGAAAACTTGAAATATTCTGTCAGTATGGAGATACTACCTACAGCATTGATTTATACACGAAAGACGTATGTTTCTGATAAGGGGGCTTATTCAAAATTCTCATGTTCTAGTAGAAAGACAATAAATAACAAAAATGTTTCTCCATGAATTTTTATTCTGGGTACAAGATGGTTAGCTTCACACCCCGGCTAGAACCCCGGTACCTACTGTATAGGAAACCGATCTGGACGTGGCGGGAAGATAGAAATCCTGTCCTGTCCGAAATCGAACACCGGACGTTCTGTCCTGACTATAGCAAGAGTCTTTATACTGACAAAAGGTGGGAAAGTAATGCGAACTCACGTTCATCTGATATGGCGCAGAGCGTGATGATCTTGTTTCATACCCACAGATCAAATGTAGATTGAAGATGGCTGTCTTTCTGTGTCGTTGCCGCGTGTAGTCTGGTAGAAGTTTACCGATGTTTCAGAAGTCCTTGCCCTGATGATAGAGGCAGCAAGCATCTCTGAAACGTTGGCAGATTTCTACCGGACTGTTGTTTGTTCATCAGGATAAAACTCTTGACAATGATAGTGTTGACCCAAGCAGAAGTCTGATGACAGTAAATCTGTGGATAAAATTTATCATGTTGAACTTATTCGTTAAAACGCTACGTTATGAGAGTTGAAGAATTATATTTTTTAATAAAGTCCAGATGCTCTTCCGCATTGCCTAGGTCGAAACTTTTCTCCTGCAACCCAGGTGACAGTCGTCTTAGCCTGACTGAGGTGATATATTCGTGTCGGTTAACTGTGGATTTTTCTAGCCGTCTCGACGTGACGGTACCCTCAGTACCCTATTGTGAAACACCCTTGATTTATATATTTCGTTTCTCATAATTGCGCCTGGCGATTCTTAACCCTTTTCAGACTCCCAACGAGTACAGCGCCATGACAGTTTATTAAAAACGACATTAAGTTAGGATATGTGGTTTAAACAAATTCACATGTTACTCAGTGTTTATCGGAATTCTACCATGGAAAATCGCTACCAGGGGAAATGGATTTCGAATAGATGGATCAGTGTTGAAGGGTTTGAGTTTTTCACGGCGATGAGTCCGAAGACAGCTATCTTTGGATCAGTGTTGCTTGAACACTTGAAAAGGGAGCTTATAAGGGGAAATCAAGTGGAAAAAAAAGTTTCGAACACGTTAAATATAAGTGTTATTTTCTGTTTCTGTTACACAGTGTGGAACCGGAACAATTTTTACAGGTTTATTTTCCCATTCATATGTTTAATGTTGCTTAAAATGGAAGTAAAGAAAATTTTGATGTTTTTCTGTATCATCTGAATAACGTTACAGTATGTAAAAGTGGTTGAATTCCTAAACATTAGAAATTGAAATTACTTATTTCACGAAAACCTTACATGAAACAGAATTCTTTATTCCAGATTCGGAATCAGATTCTCAGAGATTACAAAGAACGTCAAATACTATTCAGGAATCAGGAAGGACAACAGGTAAAATTGTAATCTGCCGTCATTACATACCAGGCACTGCTTTAGTTTGAATACTTTTTGAGTATCAGTGTTTCTTTTTCTATTTGCATTCAACCCTCCAGTTGTTTGTCAGACGCCATACTACCTGTACTTAGTTTTTGATTTGACGTTCGACAATCTGTACAGTCGCTCACAGTTATAAGTAGACCTGCTGTTATTTATTTACGATATCAATAAAGAGTGTTTTCTGATGTAGGTAACTATTTTGGATCGTAGAGTGATAGAATATTACAAATATGTACACTGGCCGTACAAAACACGTAGGCGGACCACGGGTTAACAACCCCACGTCCAGGGCGTCATTTCGGTTCCGTCACCGGGCCTTGTTGTGCTGTGTTCTACTTGCAGGGTTTTATCCTAGGTTCGCTGCAGTTCCTTATAGCCGCGGGGCTCAGTCATTTGGCTCCCAGTGTTAAAGCTCGCACTCGAAGAAATTAAAATGAAAATGACTAGCTTCTTCGAGGATGTTGCACCGTGTAATCTTGCAAGGTTACAGAGTTACTGCCTCCATCAATAAGAAACCAAATTGTTTCTTTGATACAGAAGTCAAGTGAGAATCAGATGAACCGAAGATATGAATAGAAACTGTTGAAAACAACTTTCTTCCAAGTAGTTACGAATAATAAGATGTCCTTCGTTGATTCTTTCTAAATACCGAGTTACCCTCCTCTCTTTGAGAAGTTCGCCTGCAATTCACAAGGGAGCAGCAGTTTCTAAGCCAGGCGACCTGTTTTACCCAGCTCTCCCCTACAATTACATAAAGTAAATCCAGCCCACGTTAGGAGGAAGACACGATTACAAGGGGTGACGTAACTTAATGCCGACAGATACCCACCGGGGCACAGTAAGAAATGAAGTTTTCATAAGACTATTGAAAAATATATGGCATTGGTCTATTGTTATACTAATTAGGTTCCAGGTAAGTAACCAAATAGGAAGAAATGACTGTCGTTATTAAAATATAATATTTTAGTCGACTTCAGACTTGCCGTTCTGAAAGTTTTGTGCTTTTTCCAGATTATATTTTTTTTATAATTGGCCTCTACATCTTTAGCTCGCGTTATTTCGACTGACAAGACGAATAGTCTAAATAACTCTATAGAATGTTACAATTCTTTCCTTTCACATTTTGTCTGCTTTATAAGATGTAAAATAAATTATTTCCTATTCCTCATTTTACGGAAGAATACGATCACAGACAATGCTAATTGGAATACAGTTCAAATGTTCAAACCTGGTGTTGCTTGAATTACATTGTTTCCATTAAAGAGTTCCAGTTTTTAAAATGTAAATATTTATTTAATGTTAACAAAAACTTGACTTTTCAATTGACAGTGTAAAATGCTTATTTTGGATATATTTTTTTATATTATAACACACAAAACACATTTGTAATGTATCATGTTGCTTTGTGTTGGTTTCTCACCGCGGAAACGCGAAGTCAAGCTGGCTTTCAACACGCGTATGTTTATAAAATTGTAATTGGTGAATGAAATGATAGGGCATTAATTGAATAATTAACGTCATGATATGAGGAAAGGTAGCTCATAATCTTTTCTCGCTACATTTTATTAACAGTAATTGCTTGCAGTGGAATATCAAAAACCTAATTTCATTCTGTCATTTAATTGTGTAAAGTACTGGATGAATTATATTTAAGACAATATAGGATTATTTTTTCTAATAAGTGAACAGATTTAATATCTTGTCTGTTATTACTTTATACCTGAAAAGAGTTTCTTCACGTTAGTTTATACATATTACATTAACCGCGCGGTCTGAGGCATCTTGCTTCGGACTGGCGATACGGAATGCTCGCTGGTTCGAGTCTCGGGGAAAGAAATTTCTCATGAGCTTTCGTCAGTGTATGGGACCGGTGCCAACCCAGCATCGTGAGGAAATTGGGGAGCTACAATCCGGTCATGAAAGCTAGCAATGGCTGGGGGTTCGTCGTGCTGACCACACGTCACCCTGCGTCTGGTTGGTTGATCGTTTACCTCTGCTTAGGCATGTGAACGCCAGCTAGTCGGCCTTGGCTCTCAGAGGGCTGTACGCCACGGATTATTATTATTATTATTATTTGGAAGTATGTAGTTCTTTTGTTTTTTCTGTCTCGATACATAATGTGAGCTCTCTGTACTTGGATCCCTCTCTTACGGAGGCAAATGATAAATATCGGATGACTCCGAGCTGTTTTGTGGTTGACGAGGTGTGCGATAGCCCGTACTTAGCAGCACGTAATTTTGCCCCCCGTCTTGGAGTCGCAAGCTTTATTTCTGACCCGGCACGTGACTAGTCTTGTAATAGTCAGCTTATTTGTTAGTCACACAATTGTTTTGTTATTATTCAGACAAGTATTTAAATTTGAAGTATCAGTACCGGTTTGTGTAGTAAAAACTTTATTGGAATCTGGAAACCGAAGCGACAGCATTGAAACATTTTGTTACTTTGGCGACGGACCGTAACTAGATCTTTCATCCGTTGTAGCTCTTTTATCAGATTACGTCTACAGTGCAGTTGACGACATGGACCCGGCAGGAGATGAGTGTTTGTTTGTTTGTCTTACTGAGAGTTTGGATGATGTGACTACACAGGACATTCTTAACGACAGGAGAGTTTCCGGATTGAATCTCCGGTTAGTACTGCGTGTTCCACGTGATAATTGCAGTATTTCAGAGAGCCACTGAATTTGCTTGTTCTAATTTTAATTGATACAGAGGTTCTGTTTTAAAGACGATAGAACTGAAATTTACTACGGTTGGTTTAGATGTTTAATATTTGTTTGTTTGTTTGTTTGTTGCCCGGAAAAATGTGATTAAAACATTTTTTATACAACTTTCCTTTTCAAGGAAGAATGTGGGTAATGAGATCACCATTCTGTCTGTGTAAGTCTATGTGTTCCATTTTAATTTTGAACTGATTTTCATCAAATGTATTATAAACATTGCCCTCGTCTTGTTTGATTTGATTACCCAATTAATATTTGGTAAAGAGCATAAGTTATGGAGCTCCGCATGATATCCGGTTGTTTCTTAGTTCATAGGACCAAAAATTCTTCTCAGAACTTTCTTCTCAGACAGCTTAAATCTGTGTTCTTCCCTCAGGGTGCACAAGAAACTCCACACCCATACAAAACCATTGTCTTTCGCTCTACAAGGAAGAATACATTTTAAAAACATCCATCTCTAGGAATGTTGAAAGTGTGTGTGTGTGTGGGGTCCATTGAATACGTATAGCCATAACTAACGTCTATCATCAGGAAACCATATATTCCGCCCACATCTTTGTGAGCTGATCTGAATAATACAACATAAGTCCTTAGCGCTTACACACGTCAGGTGATATACTTACTCACACAAACATAAATTATATCATTTTTATATTATTGGGTATTGTTCTCTCAGTTAATACATTAGTGCCGTGCTGTGTTTTTGGACAATCCTTGGTTTGTCATTTTGGTCATTCCTATTTCTAGTGGTTCCCTGCATGTAGTTGGATGCGTGACTTAAATTTGTACACTGTACTCCTGCATAAATAACTTGTGTAGTTGATAAGTTTAATGATATTTGACAACCAATAAAAGTATCGCTTGCTCTCGTTTTGCGTTCTTTTATGTGATTCTCTGTCAGATATTTTCCTTTGTTCTACAACCACGTTTTTCATCAATTTATTACTGAATAACAGCCATTATACGAGTTATTATTAACTGTTATTGAAATACATATCCCAAGGCCTCTTTTATGCTAAATTATAGCTGAAAGTAACCATTAATTTGGTACGTATTAATCATATCACTTTTATTACTATTACACAGCGAAACTAATCTTTATTTGTTCTTGTTTCTGGCATGCGTTAACCCGTGGTTGTAATATTTTTTTCTCCATAGAATGTTGGATAATGGCTGTGGTGTGCTTTGACTAACAGCCGGAGGACAAAATGGTGACTAATTACGCCACTGATTAACGTTGCATTAGTATCGGGTCGTGACACGAGTTGCGACGTATCCGATTCTTGTGTTACGAATAGTCTGGCAAACCCATTTACACGTGTTCACTGAGGGCTTGGAAAATGCGCTTACCGTCGGTTGCTGTGTGTAGATTCTCTGCAAGTTCCATTTCAAGGCTGCGTCAGAGTTCAGAGATGTTTCCACCGCGCACTCACTCAGTTCTGATGCATGTTTGCCATTTCTGTCTAGTGTAGAGACCCGGTGTGTATTTTCGCCAGTCACTTTTTTTT